CTTTTCCAGAATCTTTCCTGGTATTGAGGTCAGGCTGATAGGTCTATAGTTTCCTGGATCTGTTTTTCCTCCCTTTTACTGGCTTCCAACCTGATTTTAAATTTGTGGTACTCTGGCAGCAGTGGAGGAAGCAGCATCAGATCATGGGGAGAGAAGTTATTACATTAAGTAGGAATGTATAAGGAGAGGGAGAAAAAAGGAGCAGAAAGTTGAATAAGAATGGAAAAAGAAGAAATTGGGGGGTAAGGAGGAAAACAGCAGCAAAACAGCAGTGTGGCTAATGGCTGGCTGTACGCTGATTCGGAGGCAGCCGGCAACAGAGAATGATAAATCCAGCTCAGGAGCCCAACCAAGCAGCCCAATGCTCGAAACAGACTGAACGACGACAAAAAGGGAGGCTGTTGGAGGCAGCAATCTGGTGGAACAGAATATATTTAGTAATTTCCTAGACTCCCTGCTACTCCAACCTAGGCAGTCCGGCTCAAGGGGACAGTCAGACATCCTGGCCCAGGGCTCAGTGAACTTAGAGGCAGTTCGACTACAGCAGCCCTACCCAGGGGTGAGATTCAGCAGGTTATGACAGGTTCTGGAGAACCGATGGCAGAAATTTTGAGTAGTTCATAGAACCAGCAAATACTCTGGCTGGCCCCAGAGTGGGGTGGGAATGGAGATTTTACAATATCCTTCCCCCAGGAGTGGGGAGGGAATGGGGATTTTGCAGTATCCTTTCCCACCAAGCCACGCCCACAGAACCAGTAGTAAAAAAAATTGAATTTCACCACTGGTCCTACCCCTGCGTCCTCCAGTGCCCTCCCCAGTTCCCTGCCCCAGGTGGAGGAGTTGCAGCAGCAGAGGTACACCAAGTTAAGAGAGTTCTGTTCTCTAAAGCTGAGTGAGTGGCCACCTGAGCAGAGCAGATCAGACAGTGGAATTGAGTCAACCAGAGAGCAGGCCAAGAGAGCTGGCCAGAGTGAGATGAGCCGAAAAGACCCAAGCACCAAAAGACAGAATGGAGAAAACAGCAGGAGAAAATGACAAGAGGCCAGAGCAGCGAATAATGGAAGTGAAGGCAACAAATTAAGCCTTAGGTGCCGATAGGCAAGGAGGGAAGACCCCTGTAGAGAATAAAAATAAATACAGGACACAAAACAGAAGATAAAAGATAGATAAATAGGCAAATACTGAGGACAAGAGTGGAACATTAGAAATCAAAGAAGCACAGGATTAATAAGACCAATCAAATAAATAGAGCAAATCTTAATAAGGTAGGAAGGAATTGAAGCTCAAAAACTTTTTAAAAAATATAGGGAAGAAAAGGATAAATAAAACTAATACAATAGTATATTATCAACTGGGAGACAAACTCTGCAGCAAGTGGGAGATCAAAGAGATTCCTAACCAACCTAGCCGACAACTTTGTTATCCAATAGGTAGAGAAGAGAACTAGAGAACAGTGAAGACAATTAACCAGTGGAACTGCTTGCCTTCAGAAATCATGGGTGCTTCATCACTGGAGATTTTTAGGAAGACGGCCACTTGTCTGAAATAGTATAGGGCCGTGATGGCAAACCTATGGCATGCATGCCACAGGTGGCACGCAGAGCCATTTGTTAGGGCACGCGAGGCGTTGCCCTGTCAGCTGGCCAGCACACATACGTGCGCTGGCCAGCTGACTTCAGCCATCTTTTGAGGCCGTTTTTCGCCCTCTGGAGGCTTCCTTGAAGTCTCCAGAGCGTGAAAAACCAGCCTTATGAGCAAATTGGAAGTTTGGGAACGGACTTCCAGTTTGCTCGTAGGACCATTTTTCACCCCCCAGGAATGGACTTCTGGTTTGTCCATAGCGCTGTTTTTCACCCTTCAGAGCCTTCAGGGGACTTCAGGAGGTTTCCCTGAAGGTTCCAGAGAGCAAAAATCGCCCCTATGGACAAACCAGAAGTCACCATTCCTGAACTTCTAGGTTCCCTGTAGGTCTGTTTTTCACCCTCCAGAGGCTTCAGGGAAGCTCCTGAAGCCTCCCGAGCGGGTGGGGAGGCTGTTTTCGCCCTCCACAGGCTCCGAGAAAGCCTCTGGAGCCTGGGGAGGGTGAAAAAACTGCGCCAAAGTGCGGTGGCGTGCTTGTTGCGCATGTATGCACACAGTGGAGGGTCGCATGCATAGCATTATGGGTGTGGCATGCCCCTGCACAACCCCACTTTGCTCCCCACTTTTGGCACAGGAGCCAAAAAAGGTTAGCTATCACTGGTATAGGGTTTCCTGCCAGAGCAGGGGGCTGGACTAGAAGACCTCCAAGGTCCCTTCCAGCTCTGTTCTATCTCAGCACCCTA